AAAAAAAAAAAAAAAAAAAAAAAAAAAAAAAAAAAAAAAAAAAAAAAAAAAGACAAAATTACTCTTCTACTTTAGAATTGTTGTCCAATATTGTTTTTGTACAATGTATGAATATACGAAAATTTGAACTCCTTACCTAAAAAAATAGCACATGTCGGTGATTAATAAATTGAGTATTGTCACCAATATAATGACAAAAATGCCTCTGTGGGTTGGTATTAGTTGACGTGGAAAAGATGGGTGAAACAAAATTATTTTATTTTTTTATTTTCAAAAGACAATAATATGGTGATAAATTTGATCCCACCAAACCAACCGTCTTTTGCCTCCTCAAATCACCCAATTTAGAAGTCGGTGTCGTTTATTAAAAATTAAATTTAATATTCATATTTGTCCATTTTGGAAATAAATGTTTTATTTATTTATTTATTTTTTTAATTTTCCTTTTCAGTTGTTATTAATATAACTACGTACTCAAATTGGGTTTATTGCGAAACGCCCAAAATTCCAATGCCGACGGTTCCCATGCTGCGATATTGGCTATCCGAGCACCCTTCCATTGTCAACTTCCGTTGGAGCCACTCCCAATCATGGGGCTCCACGTGGCCCTTCCTCGTCGCCGCCGTTACCTTCTACGTCGTTGCCGCTGTCATCCTCCATCTTCTAATGATCCTCCTACGCCGCGCTCGCCAGGTCCCACTCGGCCCCATTCCGGCCATCCATAGTCTCTCCATGGCCGTAATCTCGGCAGTCGTCTTCACCGGAATCCTCCTCTCCGCCGTGGCGGAAATTCGTGACACCCGCTGGCTCTGGCGGCGGAGCAGAATCAGAACCACTCCGTTTCAGTGGCTGCTCTGTTTCCCGATAGGCACACGCTCCTCTGGGCGCGTGTTCTTCTGGTCGTACATTTTTTACCTCTCCCGATTCCTCCACCTAATCCGCACCTTTTTGACCGTTCTCCGCCGCCGCCGTCTCCCATTCTTTCACCTCTTCAACCAGTCGATCCTCATCCTCACTTCCTTCCTTTGGCTGGAATTTTCACAGTCTTTTCAAATCCTCGCAATTCTCTCTACCACCCTCCTCCATTTCCTCATCTACGGCTACCGGTTCTTGACGTCCGTCGGGCTCCTGGCCACGTGCTTCCGGTTCGTACTCAATTGCCAGGCGGCTCTGCTTTCCTGCAACTTGTTCTGCCATTTTGGGGTGTTTTTGTTTCACGTTCTGAAAGGCGGGTGCAATGGCATTGGCGCTTGGATATGCAACTCTGTGCTTAATTCCGCCATTCTTTTGCTGTTCGTGAAATTCTACAAGGAAAATCGTTGGGATGGGATTCATAAAAAGCCACCCAGATTCTGAAATGGGTTTGTTCTGTTGTTAAATCGAAGACATTTTATTGGGATATCATTGTAAAGTTCTTTTTATATATAATCTTGTAGGTTAGGTATTTAGAAAATAACATTAACACCTTTTAATCTTTTATAGGCCAAAACCTCTTCAATTTATGAATATTCTTAAAATATGTTATTGAGAATATTTTTGAAAAATAAAAAAAATTAAAGGTGTTTTAGAAGTTTTATTAATAATTTTTTTGAAAATTCATAGTATTTTTGGAACTATTTTCAAAATTAAAGGGTATTTTTAAAATTGAGAGATTAAATATATTTTTTTAAACAAAAGGTTGACTGTTCCATCCAATGAAACCATTGAAACTGTAATTTTAAAATTGAAAATTTTAAGGAGGTTTTTATTAATTAGTCTTATCATAATTTTCTATATCTCACATTTTCATTAGTAATGAGCATTATTAAAACAAATAATAATAATAATAAATAAATAGAATGCTATTATGGAAATAAATTTAAATTTGAAAATCTAATTTTTACCCTAAAATCAAAGATGTTACCTAACCAGAGTTAAAGCTGAGTTTAAAATCTGGTTCATAGTTTGGGAGTAAAATTTGTTCGAGAAGCGGCCTTTCCACTTCCCAATATCCCCCACCTTTCGTTAAACCCAAAGCCGCCTGAGACCAATACCGTTAAATCTGATTTTTTCTGTAATCGCGCTTTCAACCTTTCTCTCTCCTCCGCTAATCCTCTTTCTGGTCTCTTCTCAATCTTCCATTTTTCGCGGTTCCCTGTTCCATTACTTTGGATAAGAACTCGCCCAGTTTCAGTTTCAGTTTCACAAGCAATTTGAGAGCCGACCGACTTTCTTTCTCACAGATAAATCTCGATTTCCATCTCCTGAGGTAATTCGGCTCTTTTTCTTAGTTTTAGATCTGTATTTGTTGAATTCAACGACACTCTGAAATTTGTTCTTGTTTCTGAAATTAATATCTTCTTTTCGTGATTGCTTTTTTGTGTTTTCTTTACAATAGAATCCTTTATGTCTACTAGAGTCTTGAATTTCTTTAGATTTGATGAAGAAACTGCGAATCTATCAACGGATATAAACGTGTGTTTGTTTGCAGCCATTCTAGGAGGGAAATTCTTGGAAGAATGGATGCTTCTACGTCTCTGCAATCTGATAAGACACAAAAATTTAAATCTCTTGGTCCTTTTAGGCTGATGAGAGGGGTGGTTTGTTTAGCGGTGTTTTTGTCCACTGCCTTCATGTTCTTAGTGTATTTTGCTCCTATAGTCACTCTCTCTTTAAGACTTATCAGCCTGCATTACTGTAGGAAGGCAACTTCCATTGTTTTTGGTTTCTGGTTGGCTCTGTGGCCCTTTCTGTTTGAGGTGATAAATGGGACTAAAGTTTTCTTCTATGGGGATAATGTTCCTGTAAATGAACGTGTTTTGTTAATTGCTAACCACAGAACTGAAGTTGATTGGATGTATTTGTGGGATTTTGCATTGCGAAAGGGGTCCTTAGGCTGCATCAAATACATCCTTAAAAGCAGCTTAATGAAGCTGCCTCTCTTTGGTTGGGGATTCCACAGTTTGGAGTTCATTCCTGTTGAGAGGAAATGGGAAGTCGATGGACCGGTTATATGCCGACGACTTTCGACATTTAAAAATCCTCGAGATCCCTTGTGGCTTGCTGTTTTTCCTGAGGGAACCGATTTTACGTATACCTTCCATTCCTTTTCTACTGTATTCAAATTTTTTCGGGTTTAAATGCATGCTTCTACTAACGAAGAAAGGATAGTATTGGTCAAAATCATCCATTACCACTTCAATCTTGATGGTATGGTTGCCAATTACACCTTATCTAGAAGCTAGATTTGAACTTTGAAATCTTGTCTTTTGTTCTTTATGATCTGTCTGCACGTGACGAATTGACGACACATACGAAAGTTACTTGCAGGGAGGCAAAATGCAAGAAGAGTCAAGCATATGCTGCTGAAGTAGGACTTCCAGTGCTGAAAAACGTTCTACTTCCAAAAGCAAGAGGTTTTTGTGCTTGCTTACGAACCCTACGAGGTTCCCTCGATGCAGGTTCATTTCTTCTATGCATTGTGGAAGCGATATTCTTGTTTGTGTTGGTTGAGAGTATGGTAGCTCTTCAATGGTTACTATGACTCATGATTATAGGTTTTGCATCTTTTTCCCTAATTAAGTCTATTTATGCAGTTTATGATGTGACTATTGCCTACAAGCCTCAGTGCCCTACCTTTACGGATAATGTCTTTGGCCTCGGTCCTTCAGAAGTTCACATTCATGTTCAACGGATCCCCGCTGGCGAGGTCCCTGCATCAGATGAAGGTGCTTCTGCTTGGTTAATGGATAAATTCAAGCTCAAGGATCACTTGCTCTCATATTTCACGGCCAATGGCTGTTTCCCTGAGCCAAGAATTGAAGAAAAACTTTCTGCCTTCAAGTGCTCAATGAACTTCATACTGGTCATTTCCCTGACTGCCATATTTTCTTACCTTACTTTCTATTCATTTTGGTCCAAAGTTTATGTAGCTTTATCTTGTATATATCTTGCTTCCGTTACATATCTCAGAGTACAACCAGAACAAGGTTTAAGCTTTTTGGTGTCAACGCTCATTAGCAAGAAACAAAGCACTGAATAACATTCATTTTACCGGATGAGACATGATTCTTTTGGTGCAGGGATTTTGCAAATGTCTCTACTATTTTGCTTAGATTGGAATGGAGTTTTCCTGTAGAATAAGTTGATGAAATCTTTGCTTCTCTAGATTCTACTGTCTCTTGGTCTATAAATGGACAGGCAGAGACTGAGCACAAAAGGGTGCCTGTGCCTTTATTACCTGCTAATATCTTTCTCATTTGCTTAGCCTTTTTCTTCCATATTTCATCACTTGATGATCTATGGCCATAGCCTTTTACTTTCAAAAATCACTTGCGTGTAGGATTTGAAATCCTAACTCAGAAAGGAGACCCCCCAGTGAGATCTTTTTCTTATAGGGTTGTGGAGATCTGTCTTTAGTATAGGCGTTTTAAGACCGTGTGGCTGACGGTGATACATAACGGGTCAAAGCGGACAATATTTGCTAGTGGTGGGCTTGGGCTGTTATAAATAGTATCATAGCCAGACATTGGGCGATGTGCCAGTAAGGACACTGGTCCTCAAGGAGTGGATTGTGAGATCCCACGTCAGTTGGAGAGAACAAAATATTCCTTATAAGGGTGAACAAAATATTCCTTATAAGGGTGAACAAAATATTCATTATAAGGGTGAACAAAATATTCTTTATAAGGGCGAACAAAACATTCCTTAGAAGGGCGTGGTAAGCTTGAGATGTTGCACCCTACTTGAGAATTTCTAACTCTATACCTGATCTACTCTCATCCTATGATGATTTTTCTAAGTTCATTACTTGAATGGGAGCAAAGAGAACCCAAAAGGAGATTACTGTATTTTGCAAATGGGGTGGCCCCCCAGAGAGAATAATCAATCTCAGAAGGTGAAACTAAAACGCGCATTATGCATCAGAACAGAGACAAAGATATGGGAACGGTAAGTGTGATGATAAGTTACGATATTTACCACACACGCACACGCACACCAACTGTTTGTTAAAAGTTCCAAACCAGCAATGGATATTAGGTTAGGTGACCGAACAAACAGCAAGATGCGGTAGACCCAATGCCATGGCCTACCTTGATTGCTTGCCTATGCCTGCAACACGGCCATGGAAGAATATTCAGATGGAAGCCCATTTCAGAAAAAGCCACCAACTTTCTTCTCTTGGGGGGTGGGTGAAAGTTGGAAAGAGGCACAGCACATGCCTTTGTTAACCGCTTCTGTACTCGTGGGATGATTGTTCGGATAAACTGGGGATGTCGGCATTCACGATTACCTCAGTTCTTCTTTATTTCTGCCTCGCAATGTCGTCTCTCGACAGCTCCACTTTCAACCTCCCCCTGCCCTCACCCCTATTTTTTTGCCATTTTGGTTAATTGGGCTGAAACTGACGCTAAAACTGATACCCCATTCTTTTATTTTCAGGATGTACTGTCCACGTGGCTTCTTCTTTGTTCCTATTATCTCTACTCTTCACGAAAAGATTGGTTGAAATATCTTTTTCCATCACTAACCAATATAAATACAGAGCTCTCTTCTGCGTTTCTCTTACACCCAATTCGCTGACATTCTTGTTTTTCTCTCTGCGGCTTCCTTGGATTGTTGTAAAATGACTTCCCCATTATGTGTTTTTCTTCTATTGGTCGTGTTTTCACCTGGTAATGCTGGTGGTTAATCGTAATCCATCTGGGTTGTTGTTCTCTGTTCTTTTTTTATGTTTTCATGATGGATTTTGGTTAATTCGATGATGATTTGTATTCTTTTTTGCAATTGGACTGTGTAATGCTGCAGGAAATGTCGCTTTTGCGACTGTTTTTACGCTTCAGAATCATTGCAGCTACACGCTATGGCCGGGAACGCTCTCCGGCAATGGTGCGGCGGTTCTTGGCGACGGCGGTTTCCCTCTGGCCCCTGGTGCTTCTGTACAACTGACGGCCCCGAACGGCTGGTCTGGTCGGTTCTGGGCACGAACTGGCTGCGAGTTCGACATCTCCGGCAATGGGAAATGCCAGACGGGTAACTGCGGCGGCGCACTTAAATGCATCGGCGGTGGCGAGCCGCCAGTCACACTGGCGGAATTTACCATTGGCTCAACCAGTGGCGAAATGGATTTTTACGACATTAGCCTCGTCGACGGCTACAATGTGGGCATCGGCGTCCGGGCAAGCGGCGGTACCGGCAACTGCCAATACGCCGGCTGCGTCACGGACTTGAACGGAATCTGCCCGTCGGAATTGCAAGTGATTGATTCGGGCTCCGTCGTGGCCTGCAGGAGCGCCTGCGCGGCCTTCATGAAGCCGGAATTCTGCTGCACCGAGGACCACTCGACACCGCAGACATGCCCACCAACGTCTTACTCACAAATGTTCAAGAACGCATGTCCGGCAGCGTACAGCTACGCCTACGACGACGCTTCGAGCACTTGCACATGTAAGGGATCGGACTACCTCATTAGCTTTTGCCCATCCGGTTGATCCTATATGTTCTTAATTATATGAATCTCTTTCAAGTGATTGTAGTATTAAACAGTAACTACCTTGGTTTGATTTCTTAAAGAAATATTATTCAAATTCGTATCTGAAAAACAAAAAAAACCAACAAAGACATGAATTACTATCTCCTAATAGTAACAGAGCTAGGAGTTACTCACGGTCTATACCCATTTAGTAGATGTTCGCGAATTGGGTCAGGGACGAGGAAGCTTTCTCTCTCCGTCTATCATTCTTCTATCATAGGTTCTAAAAGTTCATATTTCAATATTATAACATAGTCTTTTAGGAATGTCCGAGTATATAGGAATTCTAATGAGCTTTTTTTGTTCTCTTCTTTGTACTCTTTGAAGGGCCTTCGGCCAATTTATGTTATACATGAACAAAGCTTTTTCCACCTTCACTCTTTGTTTTTGTTTTTCTCATTTTTTTGTCTCTCGTGGGTTTCATACACTTTGGAAATTCTCTCTACAAAAAGCTTTCATCTTTGAAAGCCCTACAACTTAGCCACTTACTTCTCAACCCAATTCTTTTCTCAAATCATTTTGGGCTGACCACAACTGAAAATCTAAATCTAAGGGGGCATTTGCTTCCCCAACTCTACCCTAAGTTAAGACATCACCCTACTACAAGTGACTATTTTACTTTATAGACCTTCCTTTTGAAGAGCTGTTAATTACGAATAAGTTACTGCGCAGTCGATTAAACCACGACAGTTTGATCTCACCGGACCCTGTGCACTGCCCTTCGCCTTCCTCCTCACTGTTGAAAAGGGTCTGGTCGGAGCAGTCGAGTGATGCCCCACATGCTAGATTGTATGACTGACAAGCCGAATGGCATACTCGGAGTCTATTGTCGCCATCTTTGTCACACTTTTGTATTGAAATCTGCATACAAAAAGAATAGATGAACTCCAAATAACAGGGAAGGAAGAGATGCAGAGATAGAGCGTGGTTTGAAGACGGCGTCCACGTACCCAGCAAGCCAACTGTTTTGCAGCTGCGTCGCAGTAGCTACCACCGAAGATGTTAAAAAGTTTCCGGGCACCACCGGGAAACAAACGGTGGTAATTTGGCATGACAACAACTTCCTCGAGCTGCTGTAGTATACTCAGTTCACTGGGTGCACAATGTTGGCCAGTCATATCCCTTTGCAATACATTTTTACAAACAGAGAGACTCGAAAGAAGCCTGGAGCTGTTCTGGCACGAATAGCCAGCATAATCCGAACAACGAAACTCGCAAACACCATTATCACAGACACCTCCATGGAGGCTACATTGCTCATCGCAAATAGCTGAGAACATGCCAAAGGTGACTTAGTGAATTAAATAAAGAATATAACATCCTTGATCTCATTATTAAGTAAAATTAATGTTTAAGACGTTCAAGAAACGCCCGAAGAGAATTACCGGTGGAGCAGTCGATGCCGGTGTAACCATTTCCACATTCACAAAGTCCATTAGAAAGACACCTCCCATGACCACTACAATTGTTAGGACAAGATCCTGCAAATCATTTACAAGTATAAATAAGCAAGCATATCGAAAGACAAGATGAAGTTATACAAGAAATAGATACTCACGTTTGCTACAATCATGTCCATGATAGCCAAGAAAACAAAAACACTTCCCATCCACGCAATCTCCATTGAAATTGCAAGTATTTGGGCACTTTCCCGGCACCGAAACCGAGTCTTTGCTACAAAGTTCATGATATGCAGGGCAGAGTAATTCACCTAGAGTAACGAAGTAAAATAGATTGTTATATTCATTAGACCGAAAATCATTCCGAAAACAGACGAGTAATAAGGGTAGGGCACTTACCATTAAAGCCAGGGAACTGAACCAGTCCACCAGCTTCAGGACATACTTTCCACATACCATCAACAGCCACCTACAAGAACGTGGTTGAATCAGATTGTTTAAACCAAGTTAACTAGGAACTGATCGCGTTTGCCTGTGACATTTTAAATAACATCATGTGTCCTATACAACACCAAAACTCCAAAGTACCTCTAATGAATTGTTAATGCACCGATGCTGATAACAGCCGTTTCCTTGGGTCATAGAACCTCTTACAAACCCAGTCCTGACTAGGGATGAGGCCATACACCTGCATATCCATTAGAAGAGCCATTGTTAACAACAGATTATATACACTTCAATACCCGAAGTGCGCATTAACCATAAGAAATCTTACCTTGAATTACTTCCTCGTACTTCACCTAACATTCTGTCTGGTGCCCGTGCACTGTTGGTGTCAGTGCACGATCCATCCGAGTAAGCCACAAAGTAAGTACAATAATCGGCCAATGACGATTGTCCACCTACAGTAGGGAAATTACCATGTTGATGGAATTTCAGTTTCACAAAATCTTCATTCAGCAGATGTGATATAGTTGATTAACACTAAAACTCACCCTTGTTAGGTTGGGGAAAATATCGAGCCCAGTGAGGGAGGTCGCCATTATAGCTAACAATCGGGCAGTAACCCTCTGCCTCCCTATTATATGTACATCCTGACAACTGTGTCGTGTTGCAATGGTATGCCCCCTTCCATAGATTGCAGGGGGACATGACAAAATCATTTCCCTGGTTGCGGCCCCAATCGAGACGATCAGCCATACTATAGTTGGCCTGGTACCATCCACTGTCTTCCAATAAAGCCAGAGTCATTTTTGAGACTACAGATCTTGTATCAACTGAACCCGTCATAATTTCATTCATCAGAAGCCTTTTCTCCCAGTGAGATCCTGAAATAGAACGTTAATTATTGTTTGTTTCGAGCAAAAGGCTACAACGGGTTGACGAGAATGAGCAGGGTCATAAAGAACTCAGTGGGGGCAGGTAGAAGAAAAGTAACAGAAAAAATCGAGTAAAACCTGAAGTGCCACGCCCTCCTCCGTCTTCAAGCTCTAAACCCATAAAATTCTTTGAAAAAGCCTGCCAAGGGCATTAAGCATTCTTGGCTATTTAGTTTTCGAGAATTATAAATTCTCAACTGACATTCCACATAGTTTCAGAACATGTCACGCACGCACACCAGAAAGAACAGAAGAAGCACTCACTCCATAATGATATCTTGAATGCATAACTACACGTGGAAGCACCACACGAGTCACGGTGCGCCCAAGTCTTTCATCCAAGACCTGTTCTGTTACCTGATGTATTACATCAATTCAGAGGTCAATTCCATGTCGTACGTAATCTTTTAAACGTTCTCAGAGAGGGGAAAGCATTGGATAACACTAGCTATATTTTACCTTACAACGCCTTCTTTTCCTCTCATCTCTAAAATGGGCAAAGGCGTGTGGATCAAAACCAAGGACATGCATAACCTGTGATGGACGAAACATGGTGATGAACAAAATAAAATAACACTTTTTAAACCAAACTACGCATGAAACCAAACCTCGTGTATAAGAGTAGCTGAAAGTAAGGTTTCCGCTTTGGCAGTCAAATGCCGAGGTGCAACGTTCACATGTCCTGCAATTGCACGGCCCCATTGATCACGTTCGCATGCAACAGCCCAAGCAAGTGTGTTCCCAGTGGTAGGCCTTGTGGTCACTAAAAGAACCAAGTCTGCATTGGGAATACCCTCTGGAGGAGACATACAAAATGGTTACAGCCTAAATGTAGAGAGACATTCCCTTCAAAGGGCATCTTAAAAAACTGATTAAAATACCTTCGACGTATTCACGTGGAAGTTGCACGCCTCCATCCTGTCCACAAGCCGAGTATCCACTTAGACGCAAGTTCCCTTTCACAGGCTCAACGGCCAATGCTCTTCTAAACCAATCTGCTGTCTGTCCTAGAGCCTACATTGATAAGCCTTCTAAATCATTTTCCTTATCAGAGCTTATGCTCCAAGAAAAATTAATGAACAATGTACACATAAACAATGCCAATGAAATATAGATAAATAGATATGAAGTGCATAATACCATGTACAGGCGATGCCTTTTGTCCTCCCCAGAGATATCGTCTAAAGTGCAATTATACCAGCAGTCGCCCGTAATCGGAGGATTGCTGTCAGGATTGCAAGAAGGCGAGCCTAGAAAGGAACTAGTGGCAGGAGGCTCTCCAAGCTGCTCAGATAAAGTACAACATAGACACAGAAAACCGATGGTTAATTTCAAAACTCGGTATTGGACGGAGAAATTAGTCGAGAAGTTTCAAGGTTCTGTTTCACCTTCACAATGTCACCAACTTTTTGACAATCTCTATCAGGAGAGTGACCAACAGCATCATAATTCAGATATATTCTGATAGGTTGTTTTACATTTTTTTGCTGATCTGATAATTCTGAAACTCCAAGCAATGCTCTACCTCTTCTATGAAGGGGTTTTGCCGTGCCAGAAGCATCGTAAACTTGAGGGGAAACCGAGTACACCTTGAGCCCGGGTCGCCTTTTTTGCTCGAGTATCTGATCATGGATGCAGGAGTGTGAAACAATGCTTTCAGCTCCCCTTTCCAGCTGATGATCTTCAGATTTAGCATATGTAACATCCAAAGCCAGAAGAAGCAAAATCTGAAAGAGAACAACAAATAAACTGAAAATTATGAATCCCGGAAAAATCTAAACAAAAACACTAAGCTTAAACTCCAGATTTCTCTGAAGATTGATGAACACAGCTCTGTTTATGTCCTGTCTCGAAAATGAGATCTTACAGAAATCAGATCAAACAAGAAAAATCCTTCAAACCCAATTGAACTTAGAGGAAACCATCGATTCTTTCTCCTAACTTGTGGGAGAAAGATCCTTCAACCTCAAACAGCAGTTTCAAGCATTAATTTTCATTCCCCTCGACTTAAAAAGTAAAATAAATGAACTCCTGGAAGAGAGAGAGAAGAGAGAGAAGAAGATAAGAGATGGGCAAATTACGAATCATTACTAAAATCCAAACTTCCCAGAAAACAAGCAAAGGAACAACAAATTAACAGCTGTTCGGTTTTCTTGAATTGCTAAGAGCAAAGCGTACAGTGAGGACAGCTTTAAAGGTGCGCTGGCAATGGTTTTCAAACCCAAGAGCAGCTCGAGGAATTTTTGCCATTTACAGAAGATGAACTCCACAGAAACCCTAAACCTAAAAATCCCCAACATACCCAAAACAACTCCCCACCAAACTTAACTAAAAAAAACAAACATCAGTCACCACAAGAGCTCACCTCAAAAAGAACAACGGCGAAGCGGATCTTAGCATCAAATTTACGAGCAGTACATAGACAACAACACCGTATCGTCTCCTCCATTAAGGGTCGAAGAAGACTCAAACACTAACAGAATCAATCCCATCAAATCGCCGGCGATTCTCCGATCTGCTCCAAAACCCAGTAAACCCAGAGGCTATTCTGCATTTCAAGTAGCCAGAAATGTACCGAACCACGAAGAAATGGGCAGGAAAGAGCGAGCCTCTTGAAGTAAAAGATGAAATGATTCAAAGCTCAAGTGGTGAAGAAATGGGAAGGTGGGGGTCCTCGATTTCTCCGACCCAGTTGAATTTCTTAGACTTAATCAAATTTGGAGCTCGTCAAGGTACGAATAAACGACCCAGAACACGAATTTGGTCCGAAGAACAAGCACCTTAAAGCTCTAGGAGAAAAAGAAAAAAAAAATGAAGAAAGAGAAGAAGGACAACAGTGACTGGGAAAGCGCACGAGAAAACAAACAAATATCGGAGGGATTAAGTGGAGGTGGGTGGGGAAGATCAATTTTTTACACTTAAAAAACAATTTTTTCCACTTGAAAAAATTTAAAGCCATAAGAAATTATAAAAATATCTGGCAATTTTACCTTACCGTCACGTCTCTCTCTCTTAATTTCATCTTTCGCTTTCTCTCTCTTACCGTACAATATTATAAATCATTATTTATGTTATTAATAATTTATTACATCTAAAGTATAGGTTCCTTTTATTTAAATAAATAAAGGTTTGGCCTTTCTGAATCCAACATAATTGAATGTTTAAGAAAAACCATGAAAATTTCTATAAAAATATTACATTAGAAAAATAAAAAATAAAAAATAAAGAAAAGACATTAAAATTTATCACGTACCAAATGAAAATAAAACATCTTATCTAATAATTTATTTTATTTTATTATATAAACTTAGTAAATAAATTATAGGATAAATTTCATAACTATTACTTATAGTATTTATAATTCAAAATATTATATTTTAATTATGAATAAATTTAAGATGTATTTTTTAAATGAACTTTCCTACCAATTTAATTAATGTCTTTAATGAGTAGTAATTTAGTGTCTCGGGTTTAAAATTTGTAAGGGAAAATTATCATCAAAATTAAATGCTAATTTTTATTAAATGACTTGGTCTTTATAGTTATAAATAAATTTAATTTTTAATTAGTTTGTCAATAAACTTTAATGATATGACTAAATCGTTTTATAAATTATTTAAAAAAAGATTAGGGCAGTTATATCCTATTTAATAATCAATTAAGCTTAATTGACAGGATATTGTCTTTAGCCACATGCAACGATCTTTAAAACAAATTTATCAGTCGATTAAAAAAAAATAACAATTTTTTATTTTATTTCAACGGTAAAATGGGCAATATATTTATATATATATATATATATATATATATACGTATGTATGTATAATAAACTAAGGATTAAGATAGAAGAGGTTTAAAAATTTAGAAGGATGAATTACTTGGTTGACTTGACACGGTCGCCGAGAAGGAGGAGAAGAAGGGGAAAGGGAAGGAATCGAAGCGAGCTTTTTCATTTTGTTGGATGAATCGGCGTTTTTTTTTTGTCTTAGAAAAAGAACGCCGCCGTAAAAGGTAACCTTTTCTTTTCGTTAGGTTGAAGCATTGAATTAGCATAAATCGAATTCTAAGCTTAGGGATAGGCATTACGTGAATTATCTTTCTTGGTTTCGAACAATTCTCAAAAGCCATTAAACAATTGCTTGATTTGGGTTCGGTAGTTTCTTCAAACCCACATTCACAAGCTTCCCATTTCTCAATAATTTCTTACCATTTCATTCAAATTTGATTCTATTTGATATCTATCTCTCTCTGATTCTTTCCTCAGAAGATCCAAATGGTCGATTGTTTATGGTAAACCGTAGGAATTGTTGAGAGTTAGAGGAGGATGGTTTAAGGGAAAGGAAACTTTTGGCAAAAATTCTACGCACGGAAGGTGTTTGTGAAAATGTCTGAGAGAGGAAAAACAAGTTTTCTAGGATATGGACAGTGGCTCTGTTTTATACCATTTGATTTCTGGGCATAGTTTAATAGTGGAACTGGAAAGGGACTTTCGAGATCCAGCCCACTTTGCTTTAATCGCACAATTTGGTGAGTGGAGGGATTTGACTGCAACTCATGCACACTAATAATAGTTTATTATTATTAGCCTGCCTGTCTATTCTAATGTCAATTATTAGAAACTTCCTACCCCTCCCCAGTTTGGTATTTACTCACAGGGCTGAATCTTTTAGATCTGAATCCACCTGGATTCATTGATACCCCCATATTCGTATTCAAATCATCCCAACAGTTCATCCCCATTAAGAACAAACTGTTCTTTCTTCTTTGGGTTTCATTTAGTTGTCAGTCAACACCTCTTCAACCTCAGTTGTTCTTGAAATTGTTGAACCACTTCTGTGAAACTGAATCCTCAAGCTCATTACTGACTCTCACGTTCTATATGCTTTCCAGCTCCCACTTCCCCACCATTTTTTTTCCTGAGAAAGTGAAATGGCCAAGAAAAGTTAGGTCGGAGCGATGATAAAGTTTTTGAATGTAAAAATTGGTGGGTGGGAAATCTGGTTTGATGTGGGAAAAGCAAAGAGATCAGAATCAGAATCATTCACCATTGGAGCAGACCAAACAACTTCTAACTAATCTACTTTCCCAATGGTCTAAACAATAATGTTTTGATTCTGTTTGCCCACCTTAATTTGGTGAGAGTAGTTGTGTAACCGGAAAGAAAGACTAAAAATGACAATATAGGTTTGAGTTATTACAAATAGTATGAAAGTCAGACATCGGGTGACGTGCGAGCGAGGAGGCTGGCCCTCAAGGAGGTAGATCATAAGATCTCACGTCGGTTGGAGAGGAGAACAAAACATTCGTTGTTGAGGAAAATTTCAAAAAAAAAAAAATCTAAAAATGACACTTTCGAATAGCTAGCTATGAGTTTTGGGTCTTTACAAATTAGGTGGTCGTTGACATCATTCTACCAAATGAACCATTAGCTTTAGCTAGCCCCCCTTAGGTTGCCTCCTTTGTTTATTATAGTTCCTTTTCGGCTTCAATCAAAACATTGATATTTGGATATACAGAATCATCACATCTTTCTTTTTCTTTTTCTTTTTCTTTTTCCTTTTCCTTTACTTTAATAAGACCAGATTCTTCCCATAAGTAGGGTTTGTTCTTTTTTTTTTTTTTTTCCTCATGGTTTGTTTTTATTACATGACATAATTGCTGTTTTTATTTAATAAAAGTATTGTAATATAAATAAATTATAGAGTATGATTATTGGGGGTAGGCTAAGATTTTTAAATAGGATAAAAAAAAAAATCTCAATTATCTCACTTTTTAATATACTATTAAGTAAATTATAGAGTATGATTATTGTTGTTTAGATTATGGGTTTGTTATTAGTTAATATATATACTTTTATTTTATTAAAAGAAGAAGAAGAAACTCCATGAATTATTATTAGAATAAGAGTGAAGCAAAAATAATAATGGTGTGTTGGGGGTATGGTGGCATAGAATTCTCCTCGGTTGCTTTCAATTTCTTCCTCTATTGACAAAAGAGAACATAGTGGGCCTCAGCCATTGGGCCCAATTTCCCTCTCTCAGGACATGACCCTTCAACCCCCCAATGGCCCATCCCAATTTCTGAATTTTATTATTTTTTGTTTTTATTGTCTTCCATACCTAATAGCCAACCATACTATATACAAAAATTTATAAACTTATTTTATTGATTTTGTAGCTATGACTTTCAAATATTGGTCATTTTTTTATCGTTCTATTATATAATATAATGTGAATGAGTTGATAGTGGTTACCCAATTATCCTAATTAGATTAACATAATCTAAGCCCCTTTCATGTTAATTCTTATTATATTACTTGAATTCATTTAATTTAATAAATCTAAAAACATAAAACAAAACTCAAATCCCATACTAAAATTCATTTATTTTTAATTTATTTGTTTCTTTAGTTTTTCATCTCCTTATGGATCTGCCTATGTAACTTTTAGATTGTGAAGTCTTTTTTTTTTTTTTTTTTGTTTTCTTTGTATATTCCCATATATATCCAACCACTAAATTATGGATAATATTTAAATTATACTTTGAGACTTTCCACACTTTAAATGGAAAATTTTAAAATAAAGGAAAAATAAAAATAATAATAATAAGATGTTGACTTTACGAAAATGAAGAAGACATATATTACCAGAATGATGTGATTGATTGCAATAAGTTTATTTTCTATGATTTATATTTATATTTATATTCATTTGGAGTGCATTTAGGGCAACCGACCTATTTTTATTTTACCACAATTTTATTTTCTTTAAAAAAAAAAAACTTTTTATTTTTTTGGCTCAAATAATTGAAGATACCTTGATGACTAATTTTGTGTACATCATATCTCTAATTTTGAAAAGAAAAAAAAAACGGGTTTGGATAAGACCAAATCTTAAGAAATTAAAAATGGAAAAAAATTGGAATAAGGACAACAAAATTGGCGGGAAAACAGTCATATTAATTAATGATTATAAATAATGATCTAGAAAAAAAAAAGTAATTTATATTATGTTAATCGTTCTTCCCCAACCAGGGAAGATCATGCACTTAAAAGTAATAAATTAATTAACTTAAAAGTCAATAATAAGAACATGGTCCTGGATTGAAGGCTAGAAAATATTGAAACATATATATATATATATATATATATATATATGTGTGTATATATATATAGATTGAAGGCTGAAAAAAAGGGAGTTTATTAAAAAAGTTTTAAAAGGAAAGGTTCCAAAATATAAAATCCCAATTTTTGTGGGTTACAAAAATAATAATAAAAGAAAAGAAGTTGGTGCAAAGTGGGGTCCTAAGCCATAATGATTTCTTTTATCTGAATTCATTTGGAATGACATGGCCAAGGTCAAGCTGGAAATGCCTTTTTTATTATTTATTTATTTATTTATTTATTTATTTTCATGTATATAATAAAATAAAAATATTCCTTTTGAAACATGCACATGACTAGGCTTATCCATTTGCAATTAATGCATTTTATTCAAAATAATATTTTTCTTTTATATATAAAAAACAAAAATACATTTGTAATAACTAGAAAGTGGGTGTCCCTCTGAAATGCCTTTATTTTTTAATATTTATATTTTTCTATTCAATGCATTCTCTAAATAAAAACCATATTCGTATTTCATATTTTTATCCATTTGAAGAACCCATAGAGATAATATTCTTTTAAAAAATAAATTATAATTTATTATAAATAGGATTTTATTTTCATTGATATTTATGAGTTTTGAAATATCTTTTCTCTACTATTATGTTTTCGGATTCATTGATATGCATTTTTAGGAGAGGTCACGGAGAATCAAATGGGCCCTATAGCAGCCCAATGAATCTTCAAGAACGTGGGCCTAATGAGCCCAAGCGTCTAGACCATTCGATGGCCCAGCCCACTGTAGAGTTCCACTTGTATTTTGGGCCGGGCCTTCTGGTCAATGACTCGAGGAACTTCTCAATGCCTCCACGCCCTAGTTTGTTAGGAATAGTACTAACAACGAATATAATAAAATAATAAAATAAAATAAAAGTCAATTTTGAACTTCAACTTGATCGAAAGAAAAACTTTAAAATTGTTGTAATTTTAAGCTCTAATGTTTTTTTCATCCAAATATTATTACAGAAGTTCTAATAAATTATAAATATTAATATTATTTTTAAAATTTATGAATATTTTTTAAGCGTGAAATAAAGTTTGTATTTATATATAATGATCATGACATTTATGTGTTACATTATTGAAGGGCTTGAATTATAAAAGTCCATCTCTCTCTGATTAGCTTATCTTCTCTTTGGCGTGGTTCATCTTCCGTACAGTCTTCATATCACGCCGTTGGCTACAGCGGAGGTGGCGAAGAGGGGAAGAGAAACGTCGCTGGGGTGGCTGAGAGGTGAAGAGAAACGCCGCCGAGGGTGGAGATTTAAAGAAGCTTCGTGCAGGAGGTGGGGAGAGGGGAAGAGAAATGCCGGCAGAGGTGGAGATTTTAAGAAGCTTTGCGCAGGAGGTGGCGGAGGGAGAAAGAGAAACACCGACGGCGGAAGAGATTTAAAGAAGCTTCGCAGAGGAGGTGACGGAGAGGTAAAGAGGAACGCCGCTGGAGGCGGTGGAAAAGTGAAGAGGAAGGCAAATAGAGATCTAGGAAAATGGTTAAGGTATGACGATGAGTCAGCCATGGCAAGAAATGGATGAAAGAAAAGTGGAAAAATGAATAGCATAAAAAACCCTAAAACATTTATTTTTTGTTCTTTCTTTCCGAGGTTTGATGATTATGAGGATAGTACCAATATTCAGACCAAACTAAAAAAAATTATTGGAATAATACAGAGTAAATACTAAATTTGTCTTTAAAAAATAGTAAAAAAAAAAAACAAAGAAATTTAAATATTACCATAACTGCTTTTATGTTATTACCAAAATTTATGAAATATTATTTGAGTAATAAAAATTAAGTTTTGCAAATTTTGAATTATAAAAACGGTTAAATTAATAAAAATATTCTAAAGTTTAAATAATATAATTAAATTTTTAATACAGCTAAAAATATCTTTAAATTTTTAAAAAATTAAAAAAATATATTTTTATAATTAGTTACCGATAGAAATGGTTGGTTAAAATTTGTTTAAAAATTACCTTTAAATTTAAATTTAGGTATGGTATTTTAAATAATAATAATAAAAAAGCTTTATTATTTCATTAATATAAATTTGATGAATTAATATTAAAATAATTTCAGAAACTTAGAAATAAGATATGGAAACCCCAAAACTCAGCCAGCATAGTACATTAAACAAAAGCTTAGAAAGTATGTCTTATGGGGCATTTTTGTGATAAGGTCTCTAATATTTGCACTTTACACATATATACATTACATTACATTACAAGTAACATCCTCACTAAAACAAGATATTACTCTATTAACTACTACCACAGAATCGTACTAACCCTGACCCGTACCACAAAAACCATTAGCATCCGATCGATACATACAATGTTACAGAGACAATCGAAACGCTTTCGAGTCAGCTGAATTATCTGTTAGCATGCATGACGATCAACTCAATGGATTCCCCAGCTTCTCTCCTCTTATTTGCACTGTCTTCAGCCTCTTTGCAGCCTTCACAAAACCCCTTATCACCTGCAACTCATCCAGTTGCTTTGACAAAGGAACGACATAACTCACGTAAGGTTTTTTCATAGAAAATAAACAGAACGGAGCACGGTATGGTTGTGAGTTAAGTACCTGTGACATGAAATGCCTCTGAACAAGGTCTATCAGTTGCTCTTTTGACGGGTTTGGAATAGCGTCTACCTGCACAAATCCATCAATCAATACGTAAGTAAAGAAACTTACTAAGGTCAACCTTCTCCAAGTCCACCACTAGCAGATATTGTCTTCTTTGAGTCTTCCCTTCAAGGCTTCCCCTCAAAGTTCTTATCCCCTCAAAGTTCTTAAAACGCGTGGAGAGATTTCCACACCCTTATAAACAATGTTTCGTTCTCCTCCCCAACCAATGTGGGATCTCATAATCCACCTCTTCGGAGACCAGCATCCTCACTGAAACTCGCTCCCCTCTCCAATCGTGAGAAACTTACCAGATTGAAGTGTTGCCAGTATCTCCACAATGCAGCCATCTCCAACTTACTAAGGTCAACCTTCTACATAGGAGGCGGCAATGCAACAGGAAATTAGTTCAAATTGGCAAGGCTGAACTCATTTTGCAATACAGAACATTAAAAAAGAGCATACCGTGGATCCTTGTGGTGCAGAAACAGAACTCTTGGACTGTGAGTCACAGGAAAGGGATCTGCTCATAGTCTTGTGAGATGATGACCCAGATGATTTGTGTAATCTATGCCTTGATTTGTGGGGTTTTTGGGCGTCATCGGATGCTGGGAATCAAGAATAATTGAAAGCATTATCATGAATGAGTGACAAAGGCCAGAAAAAGAATAAAGAAAACCAACAAAAGTGAGTTCACAAAGGATCCTATGCTGCCATCAACCCTATCTAGAACCAACAAACAGTCGGTCAAGAGCATCAAGTAGCCCCTACCGCTGCTGCTACACCACACCATCCTCTTCCCATCACCACTACTCGTTGTTTCTAGAAGTACAGCGAAGATGCTAGTAAAGGTTATAGTTCTAGAGCACTTGAAATCACTGTAGACTCGAAACTAAAATATGGTTCGAAGACGCATAAATCTTTGCCTTTTGATTTGGCTGTGATTTCAACATAGAGGCAAAGGATATGGGGTGGGTGGGGATGAAAAGCGATCATCACTTCAAATGATCAAATCAATAACAGACAGGGACATCAATCCAAAAACAGAGGCACAGACAGCGAACAATTATGGGATGAACTCAATTCTATTCTAAGACAGCTAATAAAAATAGAAAAAGAAGAATGATTGAGCAGAGACATTGAATCGCCAGCTGCAAAACTCACCCATATCAATTCCATTCCATTGCAAATTCTCAAATTCGAGATCGTCATCTTCCTCGTTACTGGTAGGAGCCTCGATCACACTAAGCGCATTCCGCTGTAGTTTCACCTCTATGCCATTCGTTAGAACCTGCAAGTTTTCCCCATTCCAAGAAAATTGAAGCAAAGCAAAGATTATTTTACAGTTAATCAACCAAAAGGGAAATATCCACTTCAAATGATAAAAACCCATCATAATTTAATCCTATATATTGAAATCAGGACAAGAAAAAGTGAATAAATAAAGCAATCCTAGCCAGAAAACGACCGAAGTATTAAAAAATGGATACCAAATTCATTTTAGATTATGAAAAAAAAAACTAATAAATTATGAAATCCACTGAATAAATGAACATGCAATAAAAGAGGGCAAGGATAGAAATGAAGAAAGCCCAGAATTCTCAGTGAATAACAACGAGGAAAGCAAAAAAATCGAATTCAGAATTTAACAAGACACGATCTAAAAACAAAGAAAAATTAACAAATGAAGAGTGTTATACAAAAAATTGAACTGAAAAAAAATGGGGAAATTGGCCGGACATTGATCAGAAAACATGAAATTAATCCTCACATTATCACCAAGAATAAGAATCCAAAGGAATTGAAAGTGTCTACAAAACCCGATTTGTAAAAGAAGCGAAATCGAGTGAAAAAGAGTTTTAAATACCAGCCAATGCCAGCCGCCAAGGCCCACGGCTTTCTTGACAACGCCTTGCAGTCCAACGAGGACGGATTTGGTCCGATTATTTCCAGTAACGACGACTTTGGTATGGCGAGGAAGGACGGAGAGCTCCTCCTCGCTGCTATCCCCGCAGCTCTGCAAGTGCGAGAAACCGCCGCCATTGATAGAACTCTCCACAGCGTCAATCATTTCGGAGTGTGTCAAATGAAATGAAGAGGAAAGGCCATGCAATGGTGTGGGAAGTTTGAAGCAAGAAGAAGAAGAAAAAAACACAGAGAAAGCACGGAGAGAAGGAAGAGAGGAAGAGAGGAAAAGGAAGGATATTATTATTTGAGTGGGTGGTGGTGTTGCTATGAATCCCGACGACCCGTCAACGACAAATAAGAAATTGACACGTAAGAGAGAGAAAGAGGTTTCCATAATCACGCATTTGCCACTTGGTGGGGGAGCGGGTTTGCGGCATGATGCTCCCAATACCACTGGTGGTTTCAGTTTCTACTTCCGGAACAACGCCTTTCTTTTCCGGAGTTGACTTGTTGACCTTCGCTGTAACCCACTACATTCTCCTCAATTCCCAAATTACCAAAGTACCCCTACTCCCCCTATCTTTTTTTTTCTTTAAAAAAAAAAAAAAAGAATTACTCGAAAGGACAGTTTTCTTTCAAATTTGGTTGAATTGGGTTTGAGTTTGAATTATTGTGTGTATATGGAACAGTTATTCACGTCATTGTTGCTCAATATTCAATGTGAACAAAAAGTAATTTAATTTCAATTTAAAATTGACAATACTTACCCGACAATATTGCGAGGGTAGCTAATGTAAAATTCTAATAAATAATAAATAATAGCGTTAGCTATTTTTTTATTTATTTTTTTAAATAACATGTTTTTAAAAGGAATAATAAAGGTAAAGCGTGGAGCGTTGAAAGTTGGGGTGTTTTGTAATTTCAATGTAAATAAACATGTAAATAAAAATCCAGCGAAAGAAAATTAATTATTTTTTAAAAATCTAAGAAGAAGAAAAAGGAGGGAAAAAAGAAAACACAGGCAACGTAGTCTGAAACGTAACGGCAAAATCCGATTTTTCTTTTTTCTTTTTTCTTTTTTCTTTTTTTAATTCAAACGCGGGCCCCACATCTCTACCTGCCGTCAGTTTGTCGTATATCTCCGTCCCACTCACACGTCTTTCTCCGCCATACCCGAAAATCATTCCTCTTTTCTTTAATAAAAATATTTCTATCAAAATATATATATATATTCAAATTTTTTAAATTCGTATTTTTGAAGTTTTAAAAAAAAGGTTAAAGGTATAGATTCAAACTTTTAAAAATTTAAGGGTATTTTTAGAATTTTAATTTTAAAGTTAAAATGTATTTTTAAAATTTTTAAAAAGATAAAAATAAAAAGATAATTTTGATTTTTGTTTAAGTTAAAATATATTATTGAATTTGTAAAAATTTAGGATTATTTTTTAAACAAATGATAAAATTAAAAGGTATTTTTATTAATTTGGTTTTTTAATTATGTGTGTAAATAGCTTTGACAACTTAAAATGTAAAACTGAAAATTTTAATTTATTTAAACTTTTAAAACTACAAAAAAAAAAAAAAAAAAAAAAAA